GTTTTGCTTTTGTATGTTAGATCTGAACGGAAGGAGCAGGAGATGTTGACTGTAAATAACCCACCGCCGAGAGACCCGCTGGCCTGAAGCAGCCCGGATGGGCTGATGGGTGGTGAAGTCCTTGTCCCCCTTGAAGGATCAGTGAGTCAGGAACATAAGCCCGGTCACAAATGAGAGAAAACCGCCCACCTTGCTCTCCTGGTCAGGAAAGTCGGCACTGTTAAAGAAGCAGTTTTGGCTTGTGTACGTCTGCGTGTTGCTGCTATGTGTTTAATAGGAAGCGCGTTGGTAAAATACAGAGGGTGAATGATGGAATAGATGCAACAGCAAGGCTGTTCGCCGCCGCTGCACCAAGCCCCCCTCCTCCCCCATCCTGTTTTTGTTCGATCCATCTTCTTTCTTTTCTTTCTCTTCCTTTGGGTTCAGAGTCCCGTGTTCTGGAGCGGTAGGGAGCCTGTGGTGTGCTGGGAGCAGTCATTAGCTTGGGAGCAGAGGCAGCATGCCCCGTCGGAACAGTCTTTATCTGCGTTCTGGAGTGGGGCTTCACACTGGGATGTCAGCCGGCCATGCTCCTTGCTTGTGCCTGGCTGTGGCTGAGGCGCACCTGGCGGCCTCTTATTCCTACCTGCAGCTGCCTGGGAGTGCGGACGCCGAGGCCAGCAAGGGGAAGCGCTCACTAATGTGTCAGCGCCTTAAAATGAAAGGCCCAGGCTCCAGCAGCGTGCACTATTGTTAATGCAAAGAAAAATAGCAATAACAGCTGATTGGTTGTTTTGGAAATAATTTTTCTGATTTTTTTTTATTCTGTTTTTTTTTTTGCCATTTCTTAGAGACCATGAGCAATTTGGTAAGACTGTCCAAGCCAAGTTGTGCTTTTCGGGGGGCAGTCTGCTACTCCAGTTCCACACCACAGAGATTCTTATGGTTGCACCATAACCCAATTTTGGGTGTTGACAGCGTGTTTCCCCCTAGGAGCACAAGGAGCTGTGGCTGCTTTTGTTTCTTGCTCGGGCACTTGTTTAGCCAGAGTGACTGTACACAGTGCAAAAAAAAATGCATAATTTATAGGTGTGCAAAGCCAAAGCAGCATCTTGCTGAAAACCCTGCCTCACGCACACATGTGCAAGTGTGAGTAGTACGTGAAGACTCTTTAGCTCCTTAATGCTAATCTTTGTTCCCCTGTGGAGCTGTAGCTGCTGCGGGGGACAATATCTTAGTTGAATGGCTGTGCGAATTATCTCGCAGAGCAATGAGGAAGCCTCTTGCATGGTCTCCGCTGAGCTCACCCGTGCTAGGTACACAGCCACTGTTGTACACTGTCAGCTGTATAATTGGCCATCGGAGTGTGGAGTCTGCCCCGCCAGTGTTTTGAGAAGAGCTCATTAATTGAGTCAAGAAATTGCAACAGTGGACAGGAACGATTGATCTGTTGCTCTTCTGCAAACAGGCCTTTTAAGCCACAAATTGGAGCAGTTGTACCTTTCAGCCCCGAGCGGTTTAACGTTTTGATGACTTGTTCCGCTGTTTTCTATTGCTTTCATAAATAGTCCGCGGCAATTGGGAAGGGGGCGGCGAGGTTTTTTTTGTAAGTGCAGATAAATCGGGAGGCATGGCACAGCAGTGTCTAAGATGAACCCCTGAATAATGCAGGTTGGCCTGTGTGTGCAAGCGATGGCAATCTTTACTGACTTGGCTCCTCTAGCACGCGTTAACTCGTTAGCACTCGTTAACACATCGGTGGGTTGCAAAAGGGGTGCAGCTGGGGAGAGCACGTGGTCATCTCTTCATTAACGAGATGCTCCCCGTTGCCGGCGGGGGAAACGCTGCAAGCTTGCGGATTTGCCTGTCGCGTCTCTTTTGACATCTTGTCTGCTGAGAAAAGTTAAATCCTTCTCGCGAGCCGCTAAAGGAGGAATTAATGCTCTTGTGCCAGGAGAGTGTATAAGAAAAGCTCGGCGAACCTTGGGGGGGGGGTAGAATCATTAGGGAGCAAAAATTAATTGTGGTGGTAAAGTAGGAAACACTTGAAAGGTTAATTATTATAGCTGTGCAATGAAAAGGTATGTCCTGATCTAGAATTCAACAAGAAGCTGCATGTGACTGCTTTCATAATGGACACTTGATACGCAAATGCTCCTGTCTGGCTTATTTAAACGAGGGCCCTGTACAGCGTTTGGGGAACGTGTATCCACCATGCCAGAATCTGTATTGAATAGCCGCAGGAAACACGGGGCCTATTGTCTGCTGGTGTAATTTTAACTTTACCTTGCCTGTTGATAAATCTGCTCTGTTTGCGCAGTCTTGTGCAACTCCTGTCCTGCTCTCCATTTGTCTGATGTCACTGGTGCTGTCAGGTCCTTTGATTACAATAAGCCACATGATGTTAATCCTTTGTTTACTGAAGGCAAAGAACAGGCTTGGCGCTAAACACACAAGCGCAGCCTGTTCTGTGTATTTAACGTTTCACAGACTGAGATAAGGGGACTGAGGAGGAAAGGCAGTAGTCACAGTATCACCTACAGCAGTGTTACTGTGCAGGTCTGCCTGCCTGGGCCAGCTTTTCCACCAGGTTCCCATTAAAAAGCCTGTGCCTGTGTGTGCAGAACACTGCACCACCTCTGGGATAACGAGAAGCGTTTTTTTTCTATTTCTTTGGAGAGACGGCTGACGCTGGGCTTTGGACTAGATATATTAAACTGTGTGTGCAGACAGAATAGCTGCAGGCAAGTTGAGCCCTGGGCAGAAACCTGATCACAGCTCCTCAGCTATACACCCTACAGATTACAGTTCACCACGTTTCCCTCTTGATTGGTGAATAACTTGAACCTGCGTTTGAAATTTTTACGTGCACCTTCTTGTGCAACATTGAATAGCTTTGCTCTTTAAAAAAACAAATGCTTTCCAAATGCTACAAAAAATAACTTTGAAGGATGTTGAAGTGTTTTATTTTCTTATTATTTAAAGGCTAAATAGTACATATTAGAGTGTGTGAGATGCCACAGCTATAAACACGTCTGCTCTGGCAGTGCTTTAATTGGTCTTTTATGGAGGTTTTTTCGTCAAGAGGGAAAGGCAAGTCCTCTTCCTCTCATCTTTATTTTATTGATAGAGTGTGGCTCGTGTTGAAATGGCATTCAGACGTGCTTAACGGAAATAAAGTACGAAATAAAAAAACACTATTTCAGCGAAAACAATGCAGTGGTAAACGAGATTAGCAGGGTTTAGATCTTGTTAAGGAAACAGACAAATTAGTTTCCGTACCTATTTTGTGAACAGTAAGCACACAGGGTGTTCGGCTGATTCGATTTGGCTACCACTGTGTTGTCTCGTTGACTACCAAGAAAATATAGCCATTTACACGAGAAAAAAAAGAAAACCTCGAAAAAATTCTAATCCGGAAACAGAATAATTACACCCACTCGAATCAACTGTTTTATGCTTATTATTTGGAGTGTTGTCAGAAGTGGCTGTTAATTTTTGTGGGCTGACTCACTAAAGCACTTTTTGATCCGTGATTGCATGTGTTAATGTTTCAGTAGGGTATTGATTTCCTCGCTAGCTTTTGTTCGTTAAATTTATACGCTCTGGGCTCTGGCAGTGCACGCTGTGCATGTTTGATTAAAGTTCAATTGACTTTGCCAGCGAGGAGGCCAGGAGCCATTTCGCTCCCGATTTGTAGCACCAAAGCTCTACCGACATGTTCTTTTGTTTCCATTCAAGCTTCTGCCACCCATGCAGTCTCCCAACGCGCTCATCCTAATCCTGCGATAGTCACTGCGCCCCAAAGCCTAATCCGCGGACAGGCACTTCTGCAGCAGCGTGCAGACCCGCTGATAAAACCTGCCCTGGATTTGTACCTGCCGTTCCCAGTCCAGCAGTGTCTGACTCACTGCTGCTTCCCCGGCCAACCCCTGACCTCTTTGTCTTCAAACGTGCTGAATTTTTTTTCCTTTCCCCTTTTTTTTTTGCAACTTAGGCAGTTTAAAGGTGCATTTTCTAAACCCTTTCACAATTCTAAAGCTTGATTCTGGCTTTTTCTGTGCGGAAGTTTGAATTGTGCAGTTCTGTAGAACTGGAAAGGTTCGAATCTCTTTTACTGCTCTGAAGTGATCTCTGGTTTTGGAAGAGCATGTCGTTTTTTTTTTTAATTTAGAGGTTTTTTGAACAAGGTTGGACATTGGAGCAATTTCCACTGTGTTTTTACTGTGTTTCAACAGCGGTATGTTTAGATAAGATGACGTTTTAAATGGGCATCACTGTTTTTATGTTCTAAAAAAAACGTTTCGGTCTATATTTGCTTTTCTGATGACATTTCTCCTGTAGTATTAAACTTGCTCATGCCAAAAATAAAACAAGTTCTCAGTGAGCAGAACTTGCAAGTGACCACACCCATTGTCCCAGCTAAATCGCAGACATTATCTTCTAGAGAAGGGATGGAAAACTCGTTCTTAACTAATTTCTTCCACATGTGCTAGTTTGTGAAATGTCCTTGTTCTTTGAAAAGGAGCTCGACAATATTATTGGCTCATTGTAATCTGTATTGAAGAAATGTTATCGTAGGCTGCCAGAATGCTACAAGACATTCACCAGAGCTAGAAGCTGTTCAGGCTGACAGCATTTTAAAAGAAAGGTGTTCTGTTGCAAGTTGTTTCACAAGTGATTTCACTTTCTGTCTAGTTTTTGCTGAAATGCTCACTGCATTGTAAGCCATCAAAACTATTTTAAGTTTGATGGGTCTGGATTAGTTTGGAGTTTTGTGTTTGTACAGCACTTGAGTGGAAGGAAACTAGAGAGCCATCCACCGACTGATTTGGCCTTAGGTTATTCTGTTTACTTAAGGAACATATTTGCCATTTTTGAAAGTCCTTTCTTTGCTGTTGTGAATTAAGAATATTTAGAAAATATGCATGTGATTTATGCAGGTTTACGCTGGTGTATGGCCCCCTCTAGAGAAACTGAGAGTGAGCGATTTGTTGACTTCCTCTTTTCCCCATCTGCAGGGCGAGTTGATAACGTTTTATTACTACTGGAAGAAGACCCCCGAGGCCGCCAGCTCGCGGGCCCACCGCAGACATCGCCGGCAGCCCGTCTTCCGCCGGATCAAGACGCGCACCGCCTCCACGCCCGTCAACACCCCCTCCAGACCGCCCTCCAGCGAGTTCTGTGAGTGTGCCGGGGCTGGGCAGGGGAACGCTGTGAGACGGGACAGGCCTGCAGCGACGTGGGCCGGGAGGCTTGGTGAAGGCTGGGCTGCTCTGACCAGTCGGAGCTGGGGAATCGTGTCTGCTCCTCCTCCTCCTCCTCTTCCTCTCCCCTGTGTGGAGTGCAGGAGACACGCCAGGGAGCCCTGAGCTACAGGAGAGGGCCCAAAGTGGCATAGTCTCACATGGCTGGCAGTGCCAGATTAATCCAAAATAAGGAACAGGGACCTCAGTAATCACTGTTGCCCCCCCTGCAGGGGACAAACCTGCACTGCCCTCAGTCCAGACCAGCCTGCTCCTCGCCCTCTGGCTTCTTTGCACTGAAAGCTCTGAGAGATAATGACCTGGTGCGCAGGGGGCCGATATCAGTGGGTGCCCGTTTCTCTGTGTCCCTCCTGCGCCCCTGGTTGATGGGCAGAGAGCAGCAGAGGCGTTTCCGCGCGGGGAGGAGGACTCAGTGTTTTGTTTCTTCCCTCCTCTTCCAGTGGACCTCAGTTCTGCGAGCGAGGATGACTTCGACAGCGAAGACAGCGAGCAGGAGTTGAAAGGCTACGCCTGCCGTCATTGTTTCACAACCAGTAAGCTTTGTTATTCCCTTAAAGAATAAGCATGCCGCTACCTTTAATGGGGGGGGGGGTAGGGTGGATCCTACATTGCAGTAATTTCAGATTTAAGTTTGTCATATTTAGGTCACCCACAAGCCTTCTTTTCTCTAACGAAGTGGAAACTGATCATAGCTTTCTCTGACAGTGGGACTTAAGGATGTGCGAATGGTTGTGTGATTAGCGTGTACAGCTGTTTATTTAATTTAATTAGGCTCTGCTGCAGTCTTTACATCCCTGAGCAGTGTCAGTGTTCTGGTGCAGTCTCTGGCGTTCAGAGCACCCAGACCAGTCTTCGTTCTGCCCCGGTGGGTTAGAACCGTACCAGCACGTCTCTGAAGCCGTGACAGCTTGGGTCTAGCAATGCGTGCTGTTTTATTTTTCCCTGGTTCCTGTTTTTTTTTCCCCAACATGGCAGTGGGACAAATCCATTGCCGATTTGGCCGTCGGGTGTAAAGTACGTTTTTAGTAACGAGCTGAATGAGAGCAAGGATCCTAAAAGAAGGCTCCTGCGTCAGGCGGCGTGCGCGTGTGTGTAACAGGCCGCCGATGGGGCTGGACAGAAGGGAGTGTGTGTGCGCGTGTGCCCGCGTTTGTGTGCTGCTTCTTGAGCTCCTGCGCGTGGGGTCAGGGCCTGGGCTATGGCTTGTGCTTCCTCTGCGCGTGCGTGTGCGCGTGAGATGTGTGGCCTGGCGGCACGCAGGAGCCGGGACGGACTCACCTGAGACGTCGGCGCTTGTTTTTTTCATCCCCCCCCTTCCAGCATCCAAGGACTGGCACCACGGCGGGCGGGAGAACATCTTGCTGTGCACGGACTGCCGGATCCACTTCAAGAAGTACGGGGAGCTGCCGCCCATCGAGAAGCCCGTCGACCCTCCGCCTTTTATGTTCAAACCCGTCAAAGAGGAAGACGATGGACTTAGCGGCAAGCATAGCATGAGGACCCGACGGAACAGAGGCTCGGTAAATACCTGTCCTGGAAAACACCAGCAAAATGCCAAAAGTCCCCTGCTTTTCCGGAATCCTCAGCTAGAGTAAAATCCAAACACGAGGCCGTTCTTAGCCCGTTGTATTTTTTTAAAAGAAAAGGTCGGATGACGCTCTCCGCAGACCACCTGTAGGCTCGGGTGAAAGCGCTCATCTGCTCCTCCCGATCTTTCACGGGCACATCGTAGCCGTAGGCGGTCGCTGAAGAGCTGGGCGGCGCGGCCTCTCCGCCAGACCCGCTCCAGGGGCGGGTGTGCGTTTCACTGGGCGGCGAAGGCAGCTCCGCCAGACCCGCTCCAGGGGCGGGTGTGCGTTTCACTGGGCGGCGGAGGCAGCTCCGCCTCCCCAGAAGCCCGCTCTGTCAGTCCTGCCTGACGACCTGAGCTTGACAGGCCTCATCAGCTTTCCTTGAGTCATTAATCAAAACAGCTGCTAGATTAATAAGAAACAGCTGTAAACAGCGTTCCTTATTACGGCGTAATCTTAGACAATTCCCAAGTGCATCGCAGAACCACACCGTAGCCTACTTTTTCCGTTAGTCTTTTTTAGCAGCTGTCAAGGCAATATTCCCTCGTAGATATACAAGATTTTTTTGGGGTTCCTGAGTGATTTCAAATCTGAAAACCTCAGTGGTTATTAACCGTTTAGTTTAACAGGTAGATTCCAGTTTTAGTAGCTCTGCTGTTTTGTCTCGCATCAACACGAGGCCAAAGAGAGTTCTGTGTAATACTCCTGCGGGATTTCTTTGGCAGGCTTCTTGTCAGTCTAGAGCAGACTGCCCGTGATGCCAACCCCCAACCTTTTCCGAGAAGAGGCCATTTGGAAAGTGGGCACTTAACGAGCTGCGGGCTCTTGTTAGCGAGCTACCTGCGCGTTTGCATCACGGGGACAGTGAGCACTAACCTGTCAGAAAGCTCAAGCTTGTGTTTCAGAACACTTGCTCTCCCAGTTGAGGCTCTTCAGTAAAAGATATCGGTCTCATCTGCTTATTATTGCCACTGATTTCTTACTGGATGGCTCTCGACGTAAAACCGCAGGTGCAACGCTGTCTGGAGCCGGGTAGAAAATGAGCATGCAGTGTTCTGTAGGGAGTCGTACAGATTCATCAGCAGCTGCTAGGGATGTTTTACATAATCACTGCATCAGGGGTGTCCAGCCCTGGTCCTCGAGAGCCACAGTCTTGTTTATTCCTATAGGTCACTCTAAATCAGGGGTGTCCAGCCCTGGTCCTGGAGAGCCACAGTCTTGTTTATTCCTGTAGGTCACTCTAAATCAGGGGGGGCCAGCCCTGGTCCTGGAGAGCCACAGTCTTGTTTATTCCTGTAGGTCACTCTAAATCAGGGGGGCCCAGCCCTGGTCCTGGAGAGCCCCACTTCACTTGTTCTTATAGGTCACTCTAAGCCACTCTTGGTATTTCACGATCGGGAGCAGTGGCTCAGTTACCGCCGGCAGTAGCTCACGCCTCACTGCTCACGCCTCGCTGCTGTGCTCCCGGATCCTTTCAGATGTCGACGCTCCGGAGTGGCCGTAAAAAGCAGACAGCCAGCCCTGATGGCAGAGCCTCGCCCCCCAACGAGGACATGCGCTCCAGTGGGCGAGCCTCCCCCAGCGCCGCCAGCACCTCCAGCACCGACAGCAAGGCGGACTCCATGAAGAAGCCCAGCAAGGTACCCTTCCCAGACTCTTCCCACTGCTCCTCTTGCAGGGCCTCAGCCTCATTGCGCTGAAGGTCTTGTTCATGGATCCTCCTCAGTAGGGGGCCTGACTTTCTCCACGTCGTTGTGGATAAGAGCATCTGAAATTCAGTCTAAACATGTATTCGCTTTGAAGCATCGCAGGGGCAGTCGTGCCATATTTTTAATTGGACACTGAGTGCAAAAACGAAGTGCAAGAAACAGGTTGGATGAATAGGGCAGTTGGGAAGAACGAGACAGTGTGGTTGTATGGGGGTGGTGCAATAGAAGATTAAAGTGAGCAGGAGCTGCCAGCGCTCTGGCCTGTGGAGTTGTAGAGTGACCAGAAGACCAGTGCCCAGCACACTCACGGTCTCAGTTCTGTAGCTCATGAGAAACCTGCCTGGAACTGCAGGCCAAATGAATATATTTGAGCTCAGTTGTCTACAGAGCTGTGTAAGTAATGCGTTTTTGTCACAAGCAAGGCCAGCAATTAAGCATTTAAGGCTGAAAAACATTTCATTTGAAAATGATGAAGACTCAACTGCTCTCATTTGTTCAGATGACTCCCTTGAGAATGATTTTTACAGGGTAATTAAAGAAGGCCGAGATTTCTCTTCCTTAGCCAAATGACTGAGTTTAACACGATTGCTTTTTTAATATGGAATCTGGGGGTTGGGGCTTGAGCTTGATGAACTCCTGCGTGCGCCCACATGCCAGGGGTTAGCGCAGGTCGCCAGGCGAGGGTAATGGCTTTTATATCTTGGGGCGTCTTTGTTTTCCCGCAGAAGATGAAAGAAGAGGTGCCCTCGCCACTGAAGAGTGCCAAACGACAGAGGGAGAAAGTGGCGTCTGACACCGAGGAGCCAGAGAGGTCGACCACAAAGAAATCAAAAACTCAGGTGAGGAGGAGGGGGCGCTGGGGGACTCACGGGCACGGTGATTGGCTGACAGGTGCTGCTCTAGAAGCACGAAGCTTGAGCGCGGTGCTGCCATCTGCTGCCTTTCTAACCCCAAACCTCGCATTTTATTGAGCGAATTTAATTTGACCTCCTAGAGCTGCGGGGTCTGTGTAGTTTTAGTTGATTACGCTGGAGGAAAGCAAGAAGCCTTGTTCGTGGTCCTTGAGTTGATGTTTATAGCACGTGCACAGTTTTGTTCAGAAAATGAAAAGGTTCAGCAGAGCGGCCTCGTGGCGATGTCAGAAACCGCCGTGTCCGCGCAGGAGGCAGGGAGCCGGCTCGCGGCCACACTGACATTGCGGTTGGGTCTTCCAGGAGATGAGCCGGCCTGACTCCCCGTCCGAGTGCGAGGGGGAGGGCGAGGGGGAGAGCTCGGACAGCCGCAGCGTCAACGACGAGGGCAGCAGCGACCCCAAGGACATCGACCAGGACAACCGCAGCTCCTCCCCCAGCATTCCCAGCCCCCGGGACAACGAGAGCGACTCCGACTCTTCGGCCCAGCAGCAGGTGCTGCAGGCGCAGCACCC